TTTCTGAAAATAGTAAAATTATATTTGTGTAATGAAATCAGTAATCATCTACTATAACGAATTATTCGTTATACATACCGCATATTTCGTTATAGCGTTAACGAAGATTCTTATAATGAAGTCTTAATTGGCTAGATCAGCAACTTCATTATATCGAGGTGTGACTGTATGTACTTCAAATTAGCGTATTAGATAATTCTAAATAGTCTAAAGCCCTATTGTGAAAATATTACATTCTGAGCTTTAAAGCCTGATAAAATCCCTAAGGTGGATTCATTTTCTCTGAATAGAGGTATAGTATTCATATTTAAAGTTATATGTGTTGACCTAAAAATAGTTCTGGAGAAGATCATCCCTTATTTTGTTGAGGGACGCCATTACAATGTCAGTTTGATATATGTACCTCAGAGCTACTTTGATTGCTCAAAGATAATATGAAAAAATCTTACACATGTCTGCTTATTTAATAGGTCCTGCATTATAAATGAGTTAATTATAATTGTGCATTAATATGCTAATGATTGGCATAGTATAATTAAGATTATTGATAAAGCATTATGTGAGCAAAAATTCATTATTTTCGATTTAACTGTACTTCGTGAACATCTGCACTGAGTACGTTTCAGCTGGGATATACTTCATAGATGCTAGTTCTTTTTTCACTTTCAACACTTACATCTTCAGATTTTTGATCTCATAGCACATTTTCTTATTTATATTAATTCACTCTCTATATTCCTTTTCTATGTCATGTATAAATTTCTCAAAAGTTCATCTATTATAATTGAGCAGGTACTAAGATAATACTTTAAGCTTATTCATAATCCAGTGATTATTTTCTTCTTTATGATCATGCTTTAGCATCTAGCTTGATCAAATGATATTATCAGTTTAAGATTTATTATTTGTAATGTATATAGTTGATATTTCTTTGAAAGATAAAGATATCTGACATTCTGGTCAACTTTCAGTTTGTTTCTAACGCATTAATCTCTTTTGATATCTAATAGCTTCATGTTTTAAAAATGATTCTACAATTGGATTAATTTCAATAGCCTTTTTCTCAGATAATAGGTTATGCTTCTGTGATGTGAAACGTATCCATGTTTCATTTAATAGGAAAGCTGATAATTTTGCTAGCAAGTCAGAATATGCCTTAAATTCCATTATATATTTATACATTGCACAAAAAAATGGAATTTCATGAAATTTCAAAAATAATCAGCTACTAGAGCACTTTATTGAAATAGTAAATATAAACAATAATTAGATTATTTTTTTGAATTTTATAGACTTTCTTTTTTTCATTTTTAGTAGTGATAATGATCTTGATGAAGAAAATACTGTAGAACTATTTTTGTATTACTACTTAAACTAGTTAGAAATGCATAATATAGAAGAGATATATTAACGTGTAAAATATTCTATAATTATAAGTATGTGTTAATTTTAAGCAAATGAAATATAAGAATTGCATTTTATATACCCGTATTGTCAATAAAGTTTCAACAAATTTAAACACTGTATTTCATCTGTTAGTTATATTAGAATTTTAACTGTACATAAATTATAAAAATGATGTATCTCATTCATATCTTGAATGAGGATATTTAGATACATTTCAGTTCTGGCGATTTGGATTTTAATAATACCAAAATCATCTTTATCAGGCTTGCATCCTTTGTGGGCCCAATACATTCTATCATTCATCTCTCTTCAAGTTTTTACCCTATCATTTTCCTTTTTTTGTTTATCACAAATGATATGGAAACTTTCACCATAAATTAATTCATATAACTTATTATTACAATTAGCAATAAATATAACATCTGGTCATTTTTTAACTTCTTTTCGATCTTTGCTAGCTATACTTTGACATTCAGCTGTAAAAATATAATCAGATTTTCCAATTAGAAGATCTTTTAATGATGCTCGAATTATCAGAACTATTATATTGATCATATATGTCTCTTTACTTTGTGACTTAACCAGCTTTGGACTGAAGACAGGATTTTTTCAAATATCTCTCTTATAAAAAATAATGTTAAATGTAATTTCAAACAGAAATTTTAAGAAATGGCAAATATGATTGTTAAGACTCTTATTACTGAAATACTCACAAAGCTTTTCACATATTATAATATATCTATTTTTAGAAAGGATTTTTGGATTTTCTTCAAGTATTTTTCTAAATGGATCATGAATATGAGAGTATCACATTTTTAACATTTCATGATTATATTGTTCAGTTAAAAGACATAATGCTTTTAATATTTTTCTATATTCTTCGAAGTTTACATTATTATAGCCTATACTAATGAGCTTATATTAGGCTTTACTATTTAAATCCATATTAGCGTTTTGGTAGATTATAACAGATTATAATGATTTTATAGTGTTTTAGCGATTTTAGCTGATTTAGCAATATTATACTATAATAAATATCAGATTCATTTTTATTTGATTATAAGTATATCAGGATTTATATATATATATAGGGGGTTCTAAAGGGATCTAATTTTATATTTACATGCATATATACGACGCTTGGCTAAATCAGTTTGTGGTATAACGTATATTATATCACATATATCATCCTAGATCCCTGCCAGTTCCTCGATAGTTCTAGGAGTGTTCCAGGAGCTGGCGAATTTTTATAAATCACGAGATGATTGGCCAATCAGATTTCACCTCCCTTGATCTATTGATGTGATAGCTAAGTCACCATTAATTATTTGATCATTGATCAATTAATTTGCCTCATAATGATCTAATATATTATTTGATATTGTTTTATAAAACAGACCTTTAGAGAATCTTCTCGTTATGTAAAAAGAAATACTATAGAGTTCTCTGATATCCAACTTCGCATCCTTATTGACAAATGAAAAAATAGAAATGCGGAGTATCACACTACTACAAATAAAAAGAAGTATCTTTTTTAGAATGATATTGCAGAAAAAATAAATGATCAAGAAAATACTAATTACTTTACTGGTGAAGCCTATCATAAAAAATTCTTAGGTCTTACAAAAGCTTTTCACGTAAGTAGTGTCCTGCTTGTCTTCTATGAAGACCTAACTGATCAATAATGTTTATTATTATTATTATTAGATAGCGAAAAAATATAAAGAAGGTACTGGTGACAAAAGAAGTCTAGTTGGTGAAGAGATTTATGAAGAGTTCTCGTTGAAGTTTTGGCTAAAGCCTAGGAAATTTTTTTCGAAAGATTTTCATTGATAATAACATATCTATTTTATATGTAAGAACTACTATTCGGACGAGCGCGTAGTAGAAGTGTTCAGGGATCAAGAAGGGTGAGTTCATCATCTTGCTTATTAAACACTAAAACAACTGGCATTGCAGATTTATTTGAGATCTCCCCACCAAAATCAAGACCAGTAATGTCTTCTATTGAGACTCCTGTAATTTCTGCTGGAGATGCTTCAAGCAGACCTGCCACTCCAACACTCCCCGCATTTTCTCAAAGTGCGAATGTAATTAATGTTACTATTAATTACGGTGGGAAAGGAGAGAGTTTGAAAGAACAATAAGAAAATATGGTATTAATATTATATAGCACTATAGCATCTTAATGATCTATTACAGCTGTATTAATAAGCAAATGTAATTAATAAATATCACTTTTAAAATACATAACATGTTTAAAAAACTATCTTTATTATAATTTTGTAAAGTAATACGTAAGAAAGGGCCGGCCGGTTAAGTAAAAAATGAAACTAATAGAAAATATTGGAGTAAATCTCGTTTAAAACTCGACTAATTTCACGAATCACGATTACATCATCACGTGACACAAACCTGTAACAAAATTTCTTAGTCAACGAACCAAATTTGATTATGAGCAAAAAGATAATCAATAACTTCATTAATATAGAAAATATATGTAAAAATTAAATCTTCATTTTAATAGCCGTTTCAATTGAGGAGAATCAGGTAGATCTCTAATAAATTTATCTTTCTTTACTGGTTTTGATGACCGTGGTCGACCTTTATAATCTCTCGCCAGACTATTGACATGCCTCTAGAAGTACAAAAAATGATGCGATCATGAGCAAAATTTATTGTATAGGGATAAAATGTAGCACACTGTATACCTCTAAAGCGACAAAGTGAGAAAACGTTGAAGTAAGAAGAGGAAGTGTCTGTCTATCGATTACGAGATCACTTTTCAGAAAAGGCCAGGATCGGTATATGCCTTCATACTCAAGATCCATGATGAATGATTCTACGGTTTTACCTAAAATTTCAAATGAACGATTGTGAATATAACGAAAATAAATGATAGAAAATTTCATGATATATACCCATGTTAATAAAAATGCCGTTTGATCAGTGACGCCTCCATTCTTGATTAAAATATTTATTGTCTTTTTTGCCCGAAGATTTACTTTAATGTAATCCTTATCTTTTTGTAGTCGTGTGTATCCAATTGGTTTTACCTCCGAGTTGAGAATTGGTACTTCGTCTACAATGCAAGAAAAGTCTGGTCTCTTTTGGGTCCCATAGACAATACGATTAAATCTCAGATTATAGTTTTTATATGGTCCACCAAATATAGGTTTAAGGAATGGATCTAGGAATTGAAACCTATGTTCGTCTTCGGATGTTCTGCGTGGAACTATAACTGGAACATCGTCAACTCTAGAGAGTAAAAAAGGTTAGCTTTCCAATCTTTTTCATTTGGTAACAAAAACGCGTAAGATTCTAACTTACAAGTCACAAAAAATTCGTTTAGCTAATTGGCTATGTCTATCGTTACAATTTGTATTTCTAAAGTTGGTTGTTAATCCTAATGATGCTTTAGAAGTTGCATCGTATAATAACGATGTTAAATTATTATTTAACACCGGCTCTGTCAATTTAAAAGGATTATTATTTGTTATTGCAAGCCATTCGTCAGATGAAAAAACATTATACGGGCAGGGCCAATCGAGAACAATGATTGATCCCAAGGCTCTAAAATATAATGGAAAAGATATATATTACAATATTTTAGAATACTTAATCAACAGTTAATACCTACAATACATCAAAAATATCCTTCCATGTTAAAACTTTAATACCGTATTTTACATCGTGCAGAAGGTTATGTTGATATTGTCTAAACTTTTCCGTGACATCAATATTACCAACTTTCCACTAAGACACAAAAATAATAAAGTAAATTATAGTATTATAATAACATAAATAGATTCGATTTACAGCGTACTTGATCTTTGCTTTCTATTCCCAATTGTCTTTCAAGCTAGTCAAAATTAAAACTTATCCTGTAATCTTTAGCTTTATCATCAGTAGCTTCATCGTCAGTAGCTTCATCGTCAGTAGCTTCATCGTTAGTAGCTTTATCGTCAGTAGGTTCATCATCAGAGATTACGATAATATCAACAGGTTCATCGTTACCGGAATTGTTTCTGAAATTATTGAAAAGTTTCCAGTAATCGCCATTGATGAGATCAAAAGTCAGTAATAACCCACCCTACCTTGGAAGACACGAATCTGGACTACGTGGGCATGGTGTAGTGTCATAACCACGATTAACCTTTTTCATAATTTGTTCTTCATCAATATCTAGGCTTCTTTTTCGCCTCAAAGTATACCGATTTTGTTTGGACGTGGCTGATACGTCCTAGATAATATATCAAATAAGAACGCTCGAAAATTAATCGATGAATAATGTTGCATAAGCTCATGAATTGATATAAATCAACCCCATCAACTGACTGATTCTGATGATTCTGATGATTCTAACGTTAATCTATTGCTTGATTGGTTATGCTCGGTAATCACATTAGAGTCAATGAGACAAAGATGTTGTTCCTAAATGGTTCACATTTAAGTTAGTAATTATAACCTACAATACAAGATGTAGATGCTAACCTTTTTTTCTTCTAAAAGAAATTGATCAGTGCGTGTTTTGTCTCGTTCTTCACGTATTTTGAGGCCGTCCCAATATTGCCTTACAGAATAGGAGTTCGTGTAATTATCAAAGTTACCTAGAAGGTTTTTAGCCTTTCGCGAGTACTCATCATCCTTTGAGGCAAGGATTTTTAATGCCTCTCGAAAACATTCTTTTGCCTGATCCTTTTGAGAAAATGCGCAATCAATTCTCCTGAAAAATTTTATGACTATAAAGTCATCATCAAGAATCATTTCTTGCAGTATTTTAACGTATTCCTCCATATGACAAATTAATTTTATTTTTATTTTATAACAAAGTAGCTGTATAATAGATAAACTAATAGATAAACACGAAAAATACGCGATGTCACGGAAAATCATCTGGTTGTGCAACAATAGGCCGGTCGATCGAAAAGAAAATATATTTGGCGTAAAGAAACTCTAACCGTACCATTTCCCCGACTTGTAAATCCTTTGGGGGGTTGCTTCCTTTGGTGTTGTTGACGAAATTGTATAAGTAGCTTTCAAGATTTTTCAAAAGATATAATAAGGTTCTGGCTTTCATAACCAGCATTTACCCGGCTTGTAAATCCTTTGGGGGGTTGCTTTCTCTGGTGTTGTCGACTAAATGGATGCATGATTAATGTAGCGACCTTATCGTATCTGGAGAACTAATCTTGTAAGCTTCTAGTTGCTATCTTAATTCCTATTTTGTTTTTTTTCATAAACATTTGATGCGATAAAACCAAAGCTTCGGAACGTGATTTTACCTTGATCAATCAATAAAAGTATGAAAAATGAAATTCCATCGCCCATTTCAGAAAAATTTTTCGATGCAAATATCCGATATGGGCGAAACTTTATTAATAATTTTCAGATGGAGGTAGCAAATGAAATGTATGTTGCTATCAAAGAGGGAGGGAGTACGCGGATCCTAGGCGAGTCCCAGCATCAAGTTATTCCTTTGCTCTCTCACATTTTCGAAAAATATCTACAGCTAATTTGCTTCTATCACTAACTAAAAGATTCATATCCCTATACTATTTTACTACACTAGATTTTCGAAATAAATTATCCCACCCATATCTACGAAATTTTTGTCTATCACTACCATCCACACAGACTATGAAAAAGATTATTCCCAATAAGAGAACTTCACAGAGATTAATTAATTTCGAATCTATAGCATAAATTCCGGAGATTAGCAACCGAGGTAAATAAACAATGCAATATTCCGATTCACACTTACCGCTATACTTCATTTTCACATAACTCCATTCCGCCTCATATACAAGGATTGATTGCCTAAATTTTTTCTGCGTTATCGCCAGAACGATACTGCGCAAAGTTTCAAGAATTCGGCACGTGAAGATGCTTGTGCCATTTGATATACTGCGCCAGACTTTGCTGTGCCGTTGCGTGTGACGAGATTCATGTGAGCAATTTCACTGCGTCTATTGTACGCGTGATGATGGTCAGTGATTTTCTCGGCGAAGATCAAAATGCCGATATATAACAAGAAGACCGGAGGAA